ACACAGGACTGGAGTTGTGGCTCAGCCGGTAAAGCTGCTGCCTGCAGTGCTGGCATCTCATACGGTAACCGGTTTGAGTCCCAGCTGTTCCACTCCCAATCTATCTAGCTCCTTGCTAATGTGCCTGGGAAAGCAGCAGAACACAACCCAAGTCCTTGGGCCCCTGCACCCACATGGGAGACCAGGAAGAAGCTCCTGGCTCCTGCTTTGGCCTGGGCCAGCCCTGGCTATCGCAGCACTTGGGCAGTGAATCCGCAGATGGAAGACCTCTCTCTCTCTCTCCTCCCTTCCTTCCTCCCTCCCTCTCTCTCCCTCTGTGTGTGTGTGTCTCACCATTGCTCTCTCCCTGTAACTATGCCTTTCAAATAAATAAAAATAAATCTTGAAAACAGGAAGAAAATGTATCCACATAAAACCTGCACATGGATATTTATAATACCTTCACTGACAACTGCCAAAATTTGAAAGCAATCAAAATGTCCTGTAGTAGGTTATCACCAGGGTTCAGACTCGGGAGGGGAGGGGCAAATGAGTAGGCAGGACACAAAGGATCTTTAAGCAATGATGCCATTTGGTATGGACCTGCCACTATACATTTGCCAAAACCCACAGAATGTACAACCAAGAGGAAAGCCTAATGTAACCTGTGGATTTGAGGTGACAGTGTGTCACTATAGATTCAGTATTTATAGTGAACGTACCATTCTGGATCAGTATTGGTAGCCACAGATGCTGTCATGTGTAGAGACAGAGGGTATATGGGAACTCTCTGTTCTTTCCACTCAGTTTGTGAACTTAAAACTGCTCTAAGAAATAAGGCCCATTTGAAAAACAAAGGCAATACAGTGAAAAATATTGCTCTCATTTGTGATCTCCAGATGGTCAAGCCTCCTCCACCAGCACTACTGTTTCTGGTTTCCTGACTATACTTTCAGGGATTTTGAGAGATATAAAAACACCATTTCTGTGTCTATAGATGTGATTTCCCTCCTTTTGTCTGCAATAAGAAGGTACTATGCACTGTGTTTTTCACCTTGCCTTTTTCATTTAGTGATATACTTGTAGGGTTTTCTATAATGTCACAGAAAGAACTTCCTTGTCATATAGCATTGTGCAAATGAAAAATAACTTACTTAACCTGTACCCTAGTGATAAACATAGAAGATGTTGCTAGTCTTTTCCTATTATAAACAAAGCTGCAATGAACAATGTTTTACTTGTATTATTTTGTAAATAGGCATATTGATATTTGTAAGGATGAAGTCCTAGAACTGAAATTTCTGGGTCAAAGAATATACACATTCAGCTGTAATTTTAATATATATTTCAAAATTTCCCTTTATTTGGAGCTATACCAAATCATACTCTCTATGACAAAGTATAATTGGAACTGATTCACCATGCAAGTGTAATTAAACTTTTGGATTTTTCCAACATCCTGGTAAACAATGGCATCATGTTATAGAGTTCTTTTTAGGTATTCCTTTGTATATTTTGGAAGTTAACCTTTTACCTAAAATATGAGTTGCAAGTGTTTTTCAGAGTTTGTCTTTGACTTTACATCAAATGATTCTTGCCTCACAGATTTTCTAAAATGTACTTGAACTTATCAATGTTTTCTTTTATGATTTCAAGACTTTTTGTCACAGACAGGTCTTATCACTTGAGGTGATTAAAATATCACAAAAATATTAGAAGACTAATGTTTTCCTGATTCTACTTGTTATATTTAAATCTTATTCTAACTTCTCCTGATATAAGGTAAAAAGTATGGCTCTGCTTTTATATTTTTTTAGATGCCTACCTAGTTAATCCAGCATTATCACTTGAATACTGTTACTTTATTTCCCCACTCCATGTCCACTAATGCAACTTTATAATGTACTACTTCTGCTATGTATTTCAGTTCATTTATCTTCTTTCAGTTTTAATTTAAATTTTCTGACTCTTCATATTGCCAGTACTGCACTGTTTTAATTATTATAGCCTTATAATATATTCTTTTTTAAAAAAAGATTTATTTATTTATTTATTTATTTGAGAGGCAGAATTACAGAGAGAGAGAGGGAAAGACAGAGAGAGAGAGGTCTTCTATCTGCTGGTTCATTCCCCAAATGGTCACAACAGCCAGAGCTGAGCCGACCTGAAGCCAGGAGCCAGGAACTTCTTCCAGGTCTCTCACATGGGTTCAGGGACCCAAGCACTTGGGCCATCTTTCACTGCTTTCCCAGGCCATAGCAGAGAGCTGGATTGGAAGTGGAGCAGCTGGGACATGAATGGGTGCCCATACAGATGTCAGTGCCGCAGGCAGAGGCTTAACCTACTAGGCCACAGTGCCAACTCCAGCCTTACAATATATTCTAACAACTAGTAGATGAACATTCCTCAATACTATCTTTTTTTATTTTTTTGACAGGTAGAGTTATAGACAGCAAGAGGGAGACAAAGAGAAAGGTCTTCCTTCCGTTGTTGGTTCACTCTCCTAATGGCTGCCACGGCCGGTGCGCTGCACCAATCCGAAGCCAGGAGCCGGGTGCTTCCTCCCAGTCTCCCAAGCGGGTGCAGGGGCCCAAGCACTTGGGCCATCCTCCACTGCCCTCCCGGGCCACAGCAGAGAGCTGGACTGGAAGAGGAGCAACCAGGACTAATACCTGGTGCCCCAACCGGGACTAGAACCCAGTGTCCTGGCGCCACAGGCGGAGGATTAGCCAATTGAGCCATGGCACAGGCCCCTCAATACTATCTTTTCCAGATTTTTTCTGGCTGTCTTTGCTCTTTGCTTTTTTTTTTTTTTTTTTTTTTTTTTTTGACAGGCAGAGTGGACGGCGAGAGAGAGAGACAGAGAGAAAGGTCTTCCTTTTGCCGCATTGGTTCACCCTCCAATGGCCACCGTGGCCAGCGCACCACGCTGATCCGAAGGCAGGAGCCAGGTACTTATCCTGGTCTCCCATGGGGTGCAGGGCCCAAGCACTTGGGCCATCCTCCATTGCACTCCCTGGCCACAACAGAGAGCTGGCCTGGAAGAGGGGCAACCGGGACAGAATCCGGTGCCCTGACTGGGATTAGAACCCGGTGTGCCGGCGCCGCAAGGCGGAGGATTAGCCTAGTGAGCCGTGGCGCCGGCTCTTGCTTGTTCATTTTCTACATGAATTGTAAGAGCATCTTGCTTAAATAAACCAAAAAATCCTGTTGAGATAATATTAATTGATAGGTTAACTTAGAATGAATTGATCACTGTAATGATTTTTGAATCATCTTTCCAATATTATAGTATACTGGTTCACTTGCTCTAATCGTTTTTGTGCTTACTTTACATTCATTGTATAAGTTTTCTACTTATATTTATTTCTAATAGATTATCTTTCTTCTTTTATAAAGAGAGCATTTTCTTACATTATGTCTTCTGTTATCTATGTTTCTATAAGATATTTACCTCTGTGTGTTATTTTTATTTATATTTTACTTATTTCAAAGGCAGAGAGATGGAGACAGACAGAAATCACATATCAGCTAGTTCACTACACAAATGCTCACAACAGCTGGGGCTGGGCCAAGCAGAAGCCAGGAACCAGGAACTCAACCCAGGTCTCTCACGTAGGTGGCAGAGACCCAACTATCTGAGCCATCAACTGTTGTCCCCCAGCATCAGCGGGAAGCTGGAACTGCAAGCGGAGGCAGGACATAAACCCGGGCATTTGGACATGGGTCATCCCAAGAGGCGCCTTAACCACCAGGCCAAATGCCCACCCCGATTTCTGAATATTAATTTTAAATACAGTCACTAACTTGAATTATTTCTCTCCCCACTTTTTTTTGGATTATACTTATGTCTTCTACAATAGGAATAATTTCACTCACTCTTGTCCAAACATTTCATTGAAAACTTTTTGCTACTATCTTGAGAAGAATACTAAACAACTGACATAATTACTTTGTTCTAAAGGAAGCTGAATCTTAACGAATACATATGTATTAGAACTCTTTCCTTTTTAAGTTACAGTAACCAACTCAAACACGCTGAAGCAAAATGGGGAGAATTCATTATAGAGAGGGAGGGTATCTCACAAAAGTTAAGGGCAATAAGAAACAAAAGGAATGTTCTCGCTTCCTCTTTGGCCTTCCTCATTCCTTCTTGGCCAGCTTTCTCTGCCACTTAGTTACATTGGGGAAAGAAGATCATTTACCTACAGTTCTTAATTTGCCTGTTACAATGCCAGTCACAATGTCTTATTTTCCTTCAGTGGCAAATGAAAGAATTCTGACTTATGAATTCTGGCCCAACCAATTATTGATGAAGAGAAAAGGATCATATTAAAAACCTAGCTGCTGGGTCTAGGGAGCAACTACTTAAGGACATCATTTTGAGCTGGGCACTTACTCCAAAAGGCAACTGTACTTCAGTGTACAGAAATAAAGAAATCTGAAGTTCAGGAAGCTGCAAAATTGCTTGTGATTTCTTTTTTTAAAAGATTTATTTATTTATTTATTTATTTGAAAGTCAAAGTTACACAGAGAGAGGAGAGGCAGAGAGAGAGAGAGAGAGAGAGGTCTTCCATCCGAAGGTTCACTCCCTAGATGGCTGCAACAGCCAGAGCTGTATCGACCCGAAGTCAGGAGCTAGGAGCTTCTTCCAGGTCTCCACGTGGGTGCAGGGGCCCAAGGACTTGGGCCATCTTTTACTGCTTTCCCGGGCCATAGCAGAGAGCTGGACAGGAAGTGGAGCAGCCAGGTCTCAAACCGGCGCCCATATGGGACGTTGGCGGTTCGGGCCAGGGTGTTAACCCACTGTGCCACAGCGCCAGCCCCAGCTTATAATTTCTTAAAGCATATAAATTTCCAGGTGGAGTTTTCCAGAAACCAAGCTTGAGATGGGATTCAGACACATGTCAGTTACAGAAAGAGTGCTCTTGGGAAAATCAATCAAGAAAGTTCAGCAGGATTGGAAAGAAAGAACCCAGTAATGCTGAAGGTAAAGTTCAGCCATGGCTTGACTTACAGAGATCCTCTGCAGAGCTGATCCCCTTGAAACAATGGGGTGGGTCACTGGTAGTACCTTAGCAGTTAGTAAATGAGAAGGGTGCTAAGATTTTCTGGCAAGGAGTTCCCATCAACTGGTGGCAATTCTTTAGACGAGGGAGTGCAACTATGAGCCTTCAGTAGTCACAATAGCTGTGGGAGGAGAGCAGGGGAAGAGTTGGCAAGGCACCAAAACATCAACTACATTAATCCTACATGAATATGCTTCCTATCAAAATGGTCAACAATGAGAAGACATCATCATATTGCAACACATTTGAAAAATGAGACAAAAAGAGTTTAGCTTACGATCAAACGCTTTGCCCTTTATATGCTTTCCATTTTCTCAAACATCTTACAGCTGAAACTCAAGTTGGGCACCAGAAGAGATCAGTCAGCAGATTAACATTTCCTCAACACCTTCCATGTCATTCACTTCGTGCTAAGCGCTTTTGAAAACAAAAATAGGCGCCAGTGTGGTGGTGTAGCAAGTGAAGCCACCGCCTGTGACACTGGCATCCATATGGGCCCTGATTCAAGTCCCCGCTGCCCCACTTCCAATCCAGCTCCCTGCTAATGGCTTGGGGAAAGCAGTGGAAGATGGCCCAAGTGCTTTGGGACCCTGCTACCCACGTGAGAGACCTGGAAAAAGCTCCTGGCTTCAGTCTGGCCCAGCCCCATTTGTTGCAGCCGTCTGAGGAGTGAACTACCCAATGGAAGATCTCTCTCTGTCTCTCTCTCTCCCTTTATAACTCTGACTTTCAAATAAATCTTTTAAAATAAATATGAGAATTCTGCCCTAGGAGAGATTTCAGGAAGGCCAAATTTATGTCTATGAAAATATGATCAGACATAATAACATTAAACCAGGTGCATAATACTGGCTATTTCAGAGAATAAACAGAATTAATAATAAAATGCTTGCTCTATAACCTTGACTAATGATGCTCAGTATCTTCACTCAGTTATTGAGTGGGGTTTGAAATGCTCCCCACCAACACCGAGGGAGGTTGAAGTAGGTAACAATGGCAAGTTGTTCTAAATAACATAAAGGCAAAGACTAGCAGAAATATCAACTATGCTGTGTTGCTATTCAGCAGATTCCATTATACAGAGACGGGGAGGGAAAGCTGTAGAGTCACTTGCCCACACATTGGTCTCCCTGGTGCAAGTGGGTATTGTTCTGCATCCCATGGCAGGATTAGAAACACTGCCAAGGAACAAATACACAAAGTTGTTATGGAAACCAGAATTCTTGGGCTCCGAGTTATTTACAGAGAACTTTCCGGATTACCACATTCAATAAAATCAACTCTGCTGTACCCTAGGGCAGTGCATCTCAACCAAAGATCTCTTTTTTGAGGTTCTTCAACCAGCTCTACTTAGGTAAATAGGAACTCAAGAGTCAGCAGATCATCATGGGCACCTCACAAAGTCTAATTTATACATAACATTTGTGAGTGACATAGTTGATGCTTGTTCACACTTGCCTCAACCATTGTCAAGTTTGCTAGTTTCCGTAATAGGAAGAAGGTAGCTGTTTACTATGCCTTCAGCCAAGAAACACTTCCTCCAGCGGAGCTGCTGTCTGTTTTGCCTGATGCTGTGATGCGGTGGGCTGTGGATTTTCACATTCTCTCTGTTCACTTCTGAGGTTACCCAGTGGCAGCGATCTCTGGCCATTATTTTTGACCTTGATCGTGAATCAATATTTTTTCAGCTACCCAGAAGGATCCTTGAAACAAAAGTTTTCAGTTGCTTTTTGTTGTTGTTGTTGATGCTGGTTTGTTCTGCTTTGTTTTGGAAGGCAATTGCACAATGAGGATTTTCATAGCCTTTGAGGGATCTTTCGAACCCTTCGATGTTTCAGCAGATGTGACTGTAGAGGCTGTCAAGCTGATGATAAAGGTATGTATGATGTTCCTGACCCACTATCACGTGTAGTAGCTGTAACTATGCAGTGCAGCTTAAAGTGAACCTAGACTGGACATCTCGTCGGGGATATTTTTAGCAAACAACGACCTAAAACTATCTGAGAATATCATTAGTTGTTTGTATTAGATTGATAGGAAGACAGCAACTCTAGAGATGTTGGCAAGAAAACAAACTGAGCCAATAAATTCTCGGAAAAAAAAAAAAGGAGCTTCCTTTGTCTTTGGGGGATTTGTGGGTTGTGCATGGGCCAGGCAGTGTTACCACGGAAGAGAACAAAAACAACACAGTAAGTTTAGGCTATCTAGATGAAATGTGCTAGGTGGCAGAGGGAGGCCTTGTTTGGTGAGCAGGCAATTAAAGACCCAAAGGATTTTGAAACAAAGACACTTTACACAACAAGTGCACTATAGCTTCCTTTTTCACTGACAGAAAACTGAATGCAAGATCAGATAGACTATCTTATCTAGGATCACCAAGCAGAATAAGAAAAATGTGGGTACAGTATCTCCCTATAAATTTCTTAGACATATTCACTCTAAAATGAAAAATTATACAAAATTATTTAGTCCCTGATCATAAAATATCTAACCTGGAGACAGTCATTCCCATTTGCTAAGGAGCATTAGTGAACCATAGTCACACAATATTTAACAAATTAGTCAAATCTAGAATTTCTAACAAAAGAAATCTTAACCTTTGGTAATTTAGGAAGTCTGGTGAAGCCTATAGACTCCATAGAATGTCCTTAAATGCATAAAATAAAATATATATCAAAAAAGGAAACCTATTATATACAATTTTCAAATATTAAAAATAGAGGCAGGTGGTATGGCACCTGCAGCAGGTTAATTCAGTGTGTTGGACACACGCATCCTATATCAGAATGCTGGTTTGAGTCTCCGCTACTCTGCTTCTGATCTAGCTCCTTGCTAAAGTACCCAAGAAAGCAGTGGAAGATGACTCAGGTGCTGGGTCCCTGATACCCACATGGGAGACTGAGAGAGAATTTCAAGTTCCTGGCCTTGGCCAGGCGTTGACTGGGGAGTGAACCAATAGATGGAAAATTTCTCTCTCTCTGCCTTGAAAGTAGATGAAAAATAAATAAACATTAAGAAAAGATGGCTTTAAAAATATATATTAAGTGTACAGCACTGTGGTGTAGTGGTAAAGCCACCTGCAGTACCAGCATCCCATATAGGCACTGGTTCGAAATCTGGCTGCTCCATTTCCAATCCAGCTCTCTGCTATGGCCTGAGTAAGCAGTAGAAGATGGCCCAAGTGCTTGGGCCCCTGCACCCAACTGGGAAATATGGGAGAAGCTCCTGGCTTCAGATCAGCCCAGCTCTGGCCATTAGAGCCATTTGGGGAGTGAACCAGCAGATAGAAGACCTCTCTCTGCCTCTGCCTCTCTGTAACTCTGCCTTTCAAATAAAAAATAACTTTATTTTATATATATATATATATAAAACATTTGTGACATAGTGACATGTGAGATTTTTTACGAACAAGTTCTAGCAGTGCATATAGTAACTACTGTACTTTCAAAGTAACGGTAAATATAAATAATATTTTGAGATAACTGCAACAATGGTCATATAAAAACATCTGTGATTTCCTTCGTGAAAAAGTCACAGGACAGCTGGGTACTACTACTGTAGCTTGTTGCCTACATGTGTCTTTTTTTCCCACCTAAATTGTATTAATTTGGGGAGAGGTCTAAAAGTTATGAAACCCTGTCTAATACTTTTTCCTTTTTGTCCCAAACAATTAGAATACTAAGTGGAAAAATGTAAAAGAAAGAGATTACATTTCTGGTCTGGTAATACAGAAATACACTGTTTTCATAATATGCTCTTGATTTTAAAGGATTATTTCCACATTCCCCTCTCTGAAGACAAACAAGGCCGGCGGTATCTGGAACTGATGTACGCTGGAGCTGCACTAAAGAACAGCTGGAGTCTTGCTGATGTTGGAGTATCTTTCTGTTCAACTCTCAAATGCTTTCTTAAGGTACATTGATCATACCACATTTGTCCAGGTTGTCTTTCATATTTTGAATAAAGTAATCGAAAAGTCAACCAAAGTAATTTCATAAACTTGGAGATGTTCTTACCTTCTGCTCTCTTCCATTTCTGTAATGGTTCTTTGGCACGCTCTGTGCTGTAAGAAGAAGTAAAACAAGGAGCCTGAATAGCATTCCCCTTGTTTACTCCTTCGTCCCCTCCTTTTCCTAACTCATTTGCTGCCCGCCCCATCCAGTCATCACAGAGCTCACCACAACACAATATAGGAAGAAAACCAAGGAACATTTCTGGGATATTGACACGCAGAGAACAGGATTAGCTGCCTCTATGGAGCACACAATCATTAGGGGCGGTAGAATGAGGAAGGAGAAGAAATTTTTAGTAACAATAAAAATGAAGGGTCAGTTCGTACATCCAAATACATCAAGAGTATCCTCCAACTTACATATGCAAGGGGGACAGCCTTTCCACTTATGGAGCTTCCTTAATCGATGGATGTTTAACTTAGGGTCCACGGCTGAGCTTTAAGAACCTTACACAACCCTACAATGGTAAGATATATAAAAGTATGCTCCTAGAAAATTTTCTGGATAAACTATCCTTAGTTTCAATTTTTAAGAAAGATTTATGTATTTACTTGATAGGCAGAATTACAGGGAGACAGAGGAAGAGACAACGAGAGATCTTCCATCTGCTGGTTTACTCCCCTGAATGACCATGACAGCCAGAACTGGGCCTGTCCGAAGCCAGGAACCAGGAGCCAGGAGCTCCTTCTGGGTATCCCACATAGGTGCAGAGGCCCAAGCACTTGGGCTACCTTCTGCTGCTTTCCTAGGTGCATTAGCAGGGAGCTAGATCAGAAGTGGAGTAGCCAGGACTCAAACCGGTAACCATATGGAATGCCAGCACTGCAGACGGAGGCTTTACTTGCTATGCCACAGTGCCAACACCAGCTTTCAATTTTTTAAATGGACAGGTACTCCAAAGAATATAAGAGTGCTGTATTTGGGTGGAAGTATTATTCTATACTAATTCTTTAGCCCATATGAAAACTTGGGCCTCAAGGAACTTCAAAAAGCACATATTCTCTGCTAAATAGGGAACTACTTTTCTCATATTTAGCATTTAAAAAATTTTGTGATAGTTTTACTTAAGTCCTTGTTTATTATGTATTTTAATTTATTTGAAAGGCACAGGCACACAGAAAGACAGACAAATAGGCAAAAACCTGCCATCCTTACTCTATAGATGCTAGCAACAGAGAGAGAAGCTGAGAGCTAGGAATTCAGTGCAGGTCTTTCATGTAGATGACAGGGACCCAACCGCGTGGGGCATCACCTAATGCCTCCGAGAATGCTACTTAACAGGAAGCTGGAGCAGAAGCAGAGTTGGGACTTGAACCCAGCCACTCCAACATGGAATATGGGCCTCCCAAGTAGTATCTTTATTTATTTATTTATTTATTTTGACAGGCAGAGTAGACAGTGAGAGAGAGAGACAGAGAGAAAGGTCTTCCTTTTCCGTTGGTTCACCCCCCAGTGGACACTGCAGCTGGCGCGCTGCGGCCAGCGCACGGCGCACCGCGCTGATCCAAAGCTGGGAACCAGGTGCCTCTCCTTGTCTCCCATGAAGGTGCAGGACCCAAGCACTTGGGCCATCCTCCACTGCACTCCCGGGCCACAGCAGAGAGATGGACTGGAAAACGGGCAAGCGGGACAGAATCCGGTGCCCCACTGGGACTAGAACCCGGGGTGCCAGCGCCTCAGGCAGAGGATTAGCCTATTGAGCCGTGATGCCAGCCCCCAAGTAGTATCTTCACCACTGCGGCAAACACCCACTCTAGTTCCTTAAAGTGTTTTACTAATTGACTAGATGAATGTTCAAAACGAATACATCAATAATTATTAAGTAGTATAATTTGTAAAGACGAATTACAGAATAGTAGGCATTAGATGATGCCATTTAGATTCTTTTAAAAAGACCATCTTAGATGTGCTTTTTATATTTATATGAGCATTTAATTTGAGTTGGCTGGAGGAATTTGATGGCTCCTCAGGGAAGTAAATAAAGTGTGCTAACAGCACACTGCTCTCAATAAAAAAAAAAAAAAAAGGTAGGAACCTATATACAATGAGGCTTCAAAAATTTCACATATAAAATGGTGAGTGTTTGGTGCAGTGGTTAAGATGTTGAGACTCCTGCATCCCATATCAGAGTGTCTGGGTTCGACTCCTGGATGTACTTCCAATTCCATCTTCCTGCTAACATACATCCTGGGAGGCAGCAGGTGATGGCTCAAGCAGTTGGGTCCTTGCTGCCCACATGTGACACCTGCATTGAGTTCAGCCTCCTGGCTTTGGCCTGGCCTAGTGTTGGCTGTTTAAGGCATTTGAGGAGTAAACCAGGGGGACGGAAGATTTCTCTCCTTTTGTCTCTCTCCCTTTTAAATATATAAAAATAAAGATTTTTAAAAAGTTCTTGGAAATGCATATTATGAAAAAAACTATGCATAGTTTTCATTTATCTGGCATCAAAATAAACTTATCTTTTACTTTCTTTTTCCACAAACTTTTTGGAGTCTCCTAATGCAGTAAAAAGTCTCCACCTCTGGCTCCAAGTTTCTCTCACCAGAGGCAACCTATGTTTGTAGGTTTACTTACAAAAACATTTCATAAATTCTGCTAATAAGGCATCTTCTATCACAGCTACACAAGCTTCACCCTGAAATCTTAACATTTTCCTGGAGTTCTAAAATCCTAATGACAGAAATAGAATGTAGAGGTAAAAGAGCTTATTCAAGAGGGTCTAACGCAGAATATCACTACATGCCACAAGACTCATGGCCAACACACAGGGAATAATTAGAAATTCTCAAGTCCCATGGAAATCTTACTCATTTAATTCCTTACTATGTCCAGTAGAGTCACATTTAGAGAATTTCTGTCACTACTTTGGGCTCAGAGAATAACATCTTTAATATCTGAAAGTAAAGAATTACTTAAATACTGGTTTCCACCCCAACTTCGTTTCTGTTTAAGTTAGATAATGAGGCAGGCCTATTCTAAAAGTCCATGCTACTTACCGTATGTGTGCGATAATAGTCTAAAATGGGCTTATGGGGGCCGGTGTGTGGCAAACATAGCAAGTTAAGCCGCTGCCTGAAATGCTGGCATCCCATATGAGCACTGGTTCTTCGTGTCCTGGCTGCTCCACTTCCAATCCAACTCCCACCTAATGGCATGGGAAAGGAGCGGATGATGGCCAAAGTGCATTGGCCCCTGCCAACTCCTGGAGAGACTCAGGAGAGGCTCCGGTCTCCTGGCTTCAGTCTAGCCCAGTGCTGGTGGTTGCAGCTATCCGGGGAGTGAACAAACAGATGAAAGATCTCCCTCTCTCTGTCTCCCACTCTCTCTAACCCTTTCAAAATAAACAAATAAACCTTTAAAAAAAAAATGGGTTTACAGAGGCTACAACTGGACAGCTCTATGTGGGTCCCTGTGAAGGCTCCTAATCTCAGGCATTAACCCACTGCGCCACAGTGCCGACCCCTATTGTTAATGTTAATATATGTACTTACAGGGAGTTTGCATCTGTTTTTTGAAAGCAAAAGTAGAATTATTCTCATGAAATAGTAGAATGTACTTGTTTTTATTGAAAAGTTGGTGTGCATCTCAGTGTCTTTGTTTGTAAAGGAGAAAATGTAATTTTACACCTGGGTGTAACTTATCAGCCTTCATTGATTCAGAATGCTTGGGGAAGAATATCATGTAGGTATTAAGGTAGGGAGATGCCATCAGCTATGTGCATAAGGTGAATTAGCAAGTTGCTATTAATCAGTAACTATCTGTAACCTCCTAGTGCAACCAAAAAGTATTTCCAACCAGTGAACCTCATTAGAATTCCTAATAAATTTTCCCACAAAGACAAGTTTTGTAAAATGGTGGATATGTAGAGTTGAAAATAGTGCAATGAGAACTATGTTCCAGTTACATTATGAATTATTTGGGCTGTAGATGTCATGCAACATTTATTATTTATTTACATGTTTAAAAGTTTCTGGAAACTGAAAAAAAAAGATTTTATAGCAGTAATTTTATTGATATTTAAAAACCTGGCTTTGTTAATAATTAATATTTCTTATGCACTTTTTAAAAAAGCATTATTTATTTATTTTCAGTTATTTGAAAGGCAGAGTTACAGAGATGAATCTTTCATTTGCTGGTTCACTCTCCAAATTCCTGCAATGACCAGGGTTAGGCTAGGCCAAAGCCAGGATCCTAGGACTCCATCCAGGTCTCCCATGTGGTGGCAGGGACCCCAGTACTTGAGCCATCATCTTCTGCCTTCTAGGATGTGCACTGGGAGGAAACTGGATGGGAAATGGAGTAGCCAGGACTTTAACCAGGCACTCCAATATGAGATGCAGGCATCACAAGTGGTAAGTTAAGGTACTGCACCAAACGACTACCCTCTTCCATGCAGGGAAACCTTTTATTTAAGGAATACAAATTTCAGGGCTGGCGCTGTGGCACAGTGGGTCAACACCCTGGCCTGAAGTGCCAACATCCCATATGGGTGCCAGTTCGAGACATGGCTGCTCCACTTCCAATCCAGCTCTCTGCTATGGCCTGGGAAAGCAGTACAAGATGGCCCAAGTTCTTGGGCCCCTGCACCCAGGTGGGAGACCAGGAAGAAGCTCCTGGCTCCTGGCTTCAGATTGGCACTGCTCCGGCCGTTGCAGCCATCTGGGGAGTGAACCATCAGAGGGGTCTTAAAGAAATAAGAACAGCTATTATATAAAAGAAATTTTTTTCTCTGTTTCTCACTACCTTTTTATCCAACTTTCAGGAATTTTTGCCTGCCCATAATTATTACAAGGAGTAACTTGAACAGACACTGACCTCATTGAACCATAAGAAATCATGAATATGGTGAAAGGAAAATTCTGTATTCTTTTGTTATTGAGTGAGTTTCTGAGAAATAACAATGAAAAATCACTCTATGTACTTTAGATTCAGCGAAGAGCATAGCTTGCTGGGCTGGCTTTACCTGCAGCTAAAGAGGGACTGAGCTTTCTCCCAGTCATTTTTGTTTTTTGTTTTTGCTTGCTTGTTCTTTTAAGATGTATTTTATTTATTTGAAAAACAGAGTTATAGAGAGAGGTAGAGCCAGAGAGAGAGAGGTCTTTCATGGGCTGGTTCACTCCCCAAAGGACTGCAACGGCCAGAGCTGAGCTGATCTGAAGCCAGGAGCCTGAAGCTTCTTCTGGGTCTCCCACGTGGGTTCAGGGGCCCAAAGACTTGGGCCATTTTTTCCCAGGCCATAGCAGAGAGCTGGATGGGAAATGAAGCAGCTGGGTCTCAAACCGCCGCCCATGTGGGATGCAGGCACTAAAGGCCGGGGCTTTAACTTGCTGAGCCACAGCACCGGCTCCCAATGATTTGAGTCAAGAAATGGGCCCTAGACATTGCAGGTCTGAATCTCATCACCTCTCCTCAACAGCTTTGTCAACAACTCTGTGTTATCTTGTGGCAATGAACTGAATGTTTGTTAAATCTGCAACTGGGTGGGGACCCTGGAGGAATCAGGAATCCTGATGAGAGAAAGTGGGAATGGGAACAACAGAGGGGCAAGACAGCAGCGGCTGCCTGGAGGGCCCAGGGAGAATTTGCAGGCCAGCTTGTGAGAGCCTGCAGCCCTGGGGCATTCAGGGGGCACTGCACACTGACATTGACACACAGGCCAACAATGGGCCATTGAAGAAAAATATTATTGTCCTGAATCTGCAAAAAGAGGAAGTAAAGCCAGTTTCATTTTTTGTTAGAAAAATGGCAATGTTAACCAACTTTCCTCCCCGCTTCCTTCCCCTTTCTCCCATGTGCTCTGTGTGTGTGTGTGTGTGTGTGTGTGTGTTTGAAAGATTTAATTTATTTACCTGAAAGGCAGAGTTACAGAGAGAGAGGGAGAGACACAGAGAGATCACTCCCCAGATGGCTGTAGTGGCCAGAGTAAAACCAAGACAAAGCCAGGAGCCAGAAGCTTAATTAGGGTCTCCATGTGGTGGCAGGAGCCCAAGCACTTGGGCCATCTTCCACTGCTTTTCCCAGGCCATTACCAGGGAGTAGGATGGGAAGTGGAGCAGCCAGGACTAGTGCCCATATGAGATTCCAATGTCACAAGCGGTGGTTTAACCTGTTATGCCACCACACCAGCCCCTGTGTTTTAGTTTGGGTTTGGCTTGATTAAACTGTTGCTAACGGGAGGATCTGTATTTCCTCAAACTTTTCCTCTTTACTTCAAACATCCCTGTTCCATGTGCCTTCCTATTTAGACTGCAAAATAAAAGGAACAAAAAACCTTTTAAAAAAACTTGTGTTTAGTATTTCCCCTTTTAAATAGTAAAAGTAAGTACATGTGGTTATTGTATTTTTTTTAATCAAACCATACAGATAGTGAAGAGCTACAATGATATACAGAAACTCCCTCCCAGGTAACCACCCAGAAAGGATTTTTTAAAAAACTGATAGAAGACTTAGAATCCAAGGTATTCCAGATTAAGGTGCAGCACAGCGGAGAAGTGCTTTCTAACACCTCCATAAATACAGTGTGGATATATATACCGTCAACACTCCTCTTGGGCATCTTGGCCTGCAGACCACAGAGTAAGAAAGTTTCAAAGCCCCGCCACATCCCCACGTCACTAAAAGCAGGGGACCTTGCTCGTATCCCCAGGGCAGAAGAACAAGCCTCAGATCAGAAGTCACAGCCCTGAACTGACCTTTGCTTTCACCCTTCACACCCATGTCACCCTCTGAAACATCTGTCCCTCAGTGCAACCTCCAGCCAATGAATTCCTTCCTTTTTTCTCCCTTTAGGAAGAAGAAAAGCCTACTCTCTATGTGTTCAATGCTGTAACCCAAGAGACAATGGCAATAATGGAGAACATTTCCCTTCTTGGTAAAAAAGTATCTGATCTAAGAACACTGGTCACTCTGAAATGTGGCTTCCCTGTGAGTGTCTACTGTCTCCGGACCCCAGAGCGAGTAGAGATGTATGACTGCAACTCCCTCAGGGACTACCAGACTGACATCGGTACAGCCCACACATGGGATACTCAGCACTAGGGGTGTCTGATAACCCATCTGTTTTTCCTCAATGTATTTCATTTGCAAGGCAAAAGGGGAGAGAGAGAGAGAGAGAGAGAGAGAGAGAGAGAGAAAATACCTCCCATCCTCTGGTTCACTCCCAAAATGATGTGCAGTGGCTGGAGCTGGGCTGGGGTTGAAGCCAGGAGCTGAATTCAGTCTCAGTCTCCTGCATGAGTGGCAGGCACCTAAACACTTTTTTTTTTATGCACTTTTTTTTCTTTTTTTGACAGGCAGAGTGGACAGTGAGAGAGAGAGACAGAGAGAAAGGTCTTCCTTTGCCGTTGGTTCACCCTCCAATGGCCGCCATGGCAGGCACACTGCGGCCAGTGCACCGCGCTGATCCGATGGCAGGAGCCAGGTACTTATCCTGGTCTCCCATGGGGTGCAGGGCCCAAGGACTTGGGCCATCCTCCACTGCACTCCCTGGCCACAGCAGAGAGCTGGCCTGGAAGAGGGGCAACCGGGACAGAATCCAGCGCCCCGACCGGGACTAGAACCTGGTGTGCCGGCGCCGCAAAGTGGAGGATTAGCCTAGTGAGCTGCGGTGCCGGCCTTGGCACCTAAACACTTGCACCATCACCTGCTGCTTCCCAAAATATGCATTAACAGGAGTGGGCATCGGGAACAGAGCAAGGACTCAAACTCAGGCACTCTGACAACGAATGCGGATTCCAGGAAGTGTCTTATTTTTTTTAAAGAATTTACTAATACATTAGATTCTCAGGGTCACAGCAAATGCATAATTTCTGCAACACGATTCTCCTCAATTCTCATGTTAATATGATATTAATACAAAGAGAACATATTCAATGTAGTTTATAATGAAATTGTAAGAATACAATGATACGCCCTCTCCTCTAACTCTGTCTTTCAAATAAATAAAATAACTCTTTAGAAAAAAAAAAGAAGTGTAAAAGGATGTGCAGTGTAAGTCCCCCTCCTTCTGGCCCTCTAAGTACTCATCTCCCCCTCCACAGGTAACTGATGGCATTAAGAAGATTTAGAATCCAGAGTATTTCTAAATTGAGTTGCAACACATGCAGGAGTTGTTTCTAAGCTTATTTCATGTCAGTATAGAGTGCCTATAACCTGCCAACACTTGTCTCTTAGCTCTGAGCCTATAGACTAAGAAATAAGAAGTCTCAAGGAGAGTACTGTGGCTTAGTGGGTTAAGCTGCGCCTGCAGTGCTGGCATCCCATATGGGCACTGGGTCAAGTCCTGGCTGCTCTACTTCCAATCTAGCTCCTGCTAATGCATCTGGGAAAGCAGCGGAAGATGGCCTAAGTGCTTAGGACACTGCACCCATTTGGGAGACTCTGAAGAAGCTCCTGGCTCCTGGTTTTGGATTGGCACAGCTCCAGCCATTTCAGCTATTTGGGGAGTGAACCAGATGATGGAAGACCTCTCTATCTCTGCTGCCTCTGCCTTTCTGTAACTCTGGGACAGATTCCGGCTCCCCGACCAGGACTAGAACCCGGTGTGCCGGCGCAGCAAGGCAGAGGATTAGCCTAGTGAGCCCCGGCGCCGGCTGCAATCACATCTTAAAATGCTGCCAGTTAGGGGCCAGCACCGTGGCTCACTTGGTTAATCCTCCGCCTGCGGTGCCGGCATCCCATATGGGCACCGCGTTCTAGTCCTGGTTGCTCCTCTTCTAGTCCAGCTCTCTGCTGTGGCCTGGGAAGGCACTGGAGGATGGCCCAAGTGTTTGGGCTCCTGCACCCGCACGGGAGACCAGGAGGAAGCACCTGCCTCCTGGCTTCGGCTCGGCACAGCACCGGCTGTAGCGGCCATTTGGGGAGTGAACCAACAGAAGAAGACCTTTCCTCTGTCTCTCTCACTGTCTATGACTCTACCTGTCAAATAAAAAAAAATGTTACCAGTTATATTGAAACAATTTTTTAGATTTATATGCATTTGCTGGTTGAAAAGCTGCCTTAGTGATTGGCATTTTCCCTGGTAGATCACAACCTCTCTTTAAATACTGTACTTCCTTGTCTTGTCATGCTGTAGCCAAACCTCTGTAAGACAAACTCATATCTGACCAACTGCCAGGCTCGTTTCACCCACAGTGTGAACAGATTACTGCTTGAGGTGAATGAGTCCTTGCTGGCAGTCAGAGCACCTTTGGGTGCATTGGCTGCAGTGGGATTTGACTACTCCCAACTTACACACAGGGCTTTGAAGGCATGTGTAAGTAGTTCAGCTTTTTATAACCGCTAAATTTGCATTTATTGACATACACTTCTATCACATTCACAGAATTCTTTCATGTTATTTTAAATTGAGTCCTCAAAAGCTTGTCATTGATTATTGTCCCTGATTTGGATTAGAAGAGAAGTTCTAGGATTTCTCCCCAGAGCACTTCCCTGTAATAGGCACTGCTGTTTTGCAGGCTTGCCGGAAGCTGGGCCCTGCCTGGAACAGCATAGGAGCCTATATGAGGAAGGACACACAGTGGCATTTGTCCCCAAGCAACCAATAATCTAGTTGTCTAACAAGCTACCAGACGATCAAAACAAAGCAGAGTCAACTCAGGACGACTGATCTTCAGGCCTGTCCTGCTCAGACATGACACTTTAGAGCTGAAAGAAAATTTAGTGATAGCTTGGCCCAAACCTTTTACAGATTAAAAAAAAAAAAAGTATCTGAATGGTTAAATGACTTGCTCAAGGTGTTTCAAGCAAAACCCACCAACCCCTTAAAATGATTTTCTGACAGTGGGAACATTAGGGAATGAGAGTTTTCACATAAAACGAAGGGCCCACGCATGAGCTAGGTAGGCTGCTTTGGCCACCATGAGAATGCAGGAAATCAGCGCCAAAGCAAGGAAAGCAGGCCCTCAAAGGGGAGGGAGGGAGCGTCTTTGACCTGCTTCATGCCCTTCGATCAAGCTGAGCTAGCTTGCTGGAAGCAGCCAGCCCACGTTTGTTTAAACCAGAGGCTTAAGGATCTTGGATCACTTCTCTGGTCTCCTCTTTCTACTTAGTGAGGAATCCTTGCTGCTATCAAGAGGTAAATTTTAACCCCCTTCTCTAAAAGCAGTGGAAAAAGGAAGGTTTTGGAGTTGCGGTTAAATCTAGGTTGAAAACCAAAGATCGAAGTAGTTCAGTCAGTGTACATACTTGCTTATACAGAAATATAAAGCTGCCTCTGCCCTCCAGGCATTTACAATAAAGTGGCAGAAGTGGGGCTCATATTCTCAGTTACAATTCAATAAGCCAGCTCAGTCAAGCTGCAGAGCTCAAGGGAAAGCACCCTGCAGGAATTCTGGATGATTTGAGAGGAGGAGTGGAAGACATTCCAGGATTCCGGAACAGGAGAAAAACAGAAGCCATGGGCTCGTGAACACGGACTTATCCCAGGAAGGAACAGAGAGGAGGAGGAGCCTTGCCAAAAGCACAGGCCGCACTGGTGGAAGCAGTTTGAGACATGCAGCTGCAACCAGGTCCACGTACATCCTGGAAGAGAACTGTCATCTAGTAGCTAAGCGGTACGAAATACAGAAAGGGGAGAGGAGAGGCTAAAGGAAGAGTGGTGAGCTAACTAGAATGTAGTATCAACTATTTTCACCAGCAGTGGAAAAGACAAAAAGACAGATCTGCTAGAACAGGGGAAGGGAATTGGGGAAAAGAGTAATGCTTTGGATTAGAGAGTATTTATGTTTTGGGGTCTTTTCTTCTCTCTCTCTCTCTCTCTCTCTCTCCCTAAATGCCTGCAGCAGCCGGGGCTGGTCCGGTCCAAGCTGAAGCTTAAATCCTGGAACTTAAATCAGGTCTCCCATATGGGTGGCAGGGACCTAACCACTTTGAGCCTTCACCTGCTACTTCCCAGGATATACATCAGCAGGAAGCTGTACTCAGGAACAGAGCTAGGACTAGAACCCAGGAGCTCTAAAATGAGATGTAACCCATCTCAATCAATGGTTTAACCACCAGGCCAAATGCCCACCCACCCCTCTTTTTTAAGTTACTCAGTTTATCATTAGGAACAAAGCTGTAAGAACAACCCACATCTTCCAATTCTCTCCGAGACAAGCATGGAGTGAGGGCTTGTGTGATGGATTGGGTTGGGAGATATTTATGTAGGCATCCTGCCCACACAGGGGTCAAGCCCTGTACAGGGGCTCTCCCTAGAGAATAAATATATATACAGAGGAAGCATGAAGGGTCAAAAGCCTGTAGTCAGGACGCTCTGAGTTCTGGGCAAGCAGACAGAGGAAGAGCCAGAAAATTAGACACAAACGCTGCCAGAGACAGGAGGAGAACCGGGACTTTGTATGAATATTATTTTTTTATTTTTTTATTTTTTTATTTTTGACAGGCAGAGTGGACAGTGAGAGAGAGAGAGACAGAGAGAAAGGTCTTCCTTTGCCGTTGATTCACCCTCCAATGGCCGCCGCTGCAGCCGGCGCACCGCGCTGATCCGATGGCAGGAGCCAGGATCCAGGTGCTTTTCCTGGTCTCCCATGGGGTGCAGGGCCCAAGCACCTGGGCCATCCTCCACTGCACTCCCTGGCCATAGCAGAGAGCTGGCCTGGAAGAGGGGCAACCGGGACAGAATCCGGCGCCCCGACCGGGACTAGAACCCGGTGTGCCGGCGCCGTTAGGTGGAGGATTAGCCTATTGAGCCACGGCGCCGGCCTTGTATGAATATTATTAACAGATGATAAAGAAACAACTGTTGCTGAAAAAAGGACAAAAACAATCCTGAGAAAAAAACCTTTGATTTGGCTTAAAGGTCATTGGTGAGCTCAGAGAGAATAGTTTTAACAAAGTAGTTGGAGACAGAAAGATTGCAGGGATTAAGGAGATAAAAAATGAGGGGATAAAGCAGTTTTTTGTGGTGTAACATTTAAGACTGACTTACCAAAAACCTCTGAATCAAAACATATCCTAATATTTGTGATTTTGTGACTTGAAACTTAGTAGCACATCACATAGGTC